ACTGGAAATTTGTTTATTTTTATTTTCCTTGGTGAGATGATTTAGATTACAACTTCACAGAAGCGAAAGATTATGCCAACCATAATGTCTTTAAGAAAGAAGCCTTTGTTGGTAAATTTTTGTTGTCAGTATCAGAATTATCTTTATATTCCCAGTAATGGATAATGCTGAAGATTATTTTTCATAGTTGAAAGGTATTTTAAAACATTATTTCCAAGAGTGAACACATTTAATAAAAACATTCTGTAAACCCTGACATAAGCCCTGTAAAATGCAAGTTGAATTGAAATTTTAAAGAGAAATTAATAATTGCATTAATTTTATAAACAGCTAATAAGAGACTTCCAGAAAAATCGTGGAAACAGAAATTCAATTAGGAAAATTTTTTGGCGACACAGGCTACTGATGGTGGTTCAAGCTGAGTAGTAATAGCATTGTATATACCAAAATTGGACATATTTGGAATTCCGTATGTGGAATAAAGGAGATTTCAACTGCCTGTCAACATTATAATGCACTGAAAGTCAATAGAATGTTAGCTTCAAAGTAAGAATGCTTTCAGCAATAGGATAATAGCGATGCTAGCTTTAATCATTAAGTGGTCAATCTCTGTTTCACAAATTGCTAAACCAAAGTGTCTTCTTCCATTCCACCTGTGCTGCTTTGCATCCAACAATTTCTAGCGCCGCACTTTGTTTTCAAGTTATTTATTCTGGTTTTACCTTTTATTCAATCTCCAACACATTTCACAGCTTTGGCACTTGAAATTATGCATGCAGTATTTAACAAGAAATTAAAGATTACATCGTCACAAGTCCTAACATTTAACCAATTCTTAGCGATTGTTGAGTATTTCTCACAATTCAAATCATTCCACCATTGTTGTGTCAAAAGCAGTAACTCACACAAGCCAACTGAAGGAAGAGTTCACAGAGCTTATACAAGTATTAAGTATAGTCACTATTTCAGCTCTATATCCTAGAGTTCACCACAGAGAGAAGTAACACTGGGGCACTATGGCAGCCTGGTACGACAGTTTCTCAAGCCTCATCATTTGGCGTATCCTCTGTTTATAGACATGACAGACCCTGACATGGTCAAAGGATCTCTGTGTCTCCCTCTCTCTCTGTAGCAATATACTTTAAAATGATAGTTTTTTAAATTTTATTTTAAAGTATTTCTCTACCTGCTTTAAGGAGCCAATGATATTATTGCAGAGTAACAATCTACAAACAACTTCTAGGACAACTTAATTTCAAAGAATTTTCATTTCTTTCCCCCTTTTTGACTTTTGGAAATGGGTCTATAATTAATTTATATGCAGAATTTTATAGTGATTGGTACAATAGGTGATGGGGCTATCCTGCAAATTTTTAAGAAATAATTGCTGGTGTTTGTGTCTGGAGTTCTCCATTCATAAAAGAAAATAAACTGATACAAAAACTTCTGAAAATAGATATTTGATTCCTATGTCATGAAAAATTTGTTAATGATACAAGTATAAAATTTGGAAATCGTTAGATAGTCCCATAGTTAGAAATGCAGCAGATAACACAAATATTTGCTATTAGGGATACTTGCTTCTTAAGAATTTCTAGCTAGTAGATATTTAACCACTTTTGAATGATTATAAGCAAATCTTTTGATAGATGTGATTTCTACTTCTGTCAGTAGTCTACAAAATAATTGTTTAAAATGCAACTTCATTTTCATACTCTTTTAGATTTTAGTTTTTATTTATATTTTAATGTGGAGAATTATTTTGTTAGAATTCACAAGTTTTTACAACTGAATTATGAGAAAATGAAAATCATTTCAGGACACTAGTTTTTTCCTATTAAAAACTTAAAATTAATATTATTATTGACTACTGTGGGGAAAAGTCCAAGCCAAAGATGAGACGCTTACAAAAACATTGAAATCATATTTCTTCTTAGGTAATGCAAAATGCAGACACCATATGAAGCAACTAGTCAGTTTTAAAACCTGAAAGCAGATGAATCAGAAGTATGTGAATATAAACAACACTTCACTTTGAAAGATCATTCTAGAAAAGTACCAGAGAAGTCATTCGCTGCTGAACACACCTGCAACTTTTTCTAAGAAAATCCATGTCAGATTGTGACAGCCCATCTCAGTTATTTGAACCAAGATCAGTCATCTGAAAGATGGCGACCTTTTATTGGGTGGCCTGTGATCTTTGAGATAGGACTTCTTGTCTACCAAAAAAAAAAAAAAATGCATACAGCTAGATAGAATCTTGCCCACTTATTTGACTGGAAACGTTCTGAAAGATGTTGTCATCTGTGGAAACTGATAATGAAAAATTATAAGGTTCTATGAAGAATCCCTGGAGCCCAATTAAAAGTAACACATTATAGCTTGTTAAGGGGAAGCGGACGTCACTCAACGTTTTGGGTAAACATGCTTGATTGTTGGTTTCATGGCTCATCTTTGTGCAGTAGGTATAGCATGGGATTGATCATAAAGGCTGAATTCTGAGTGACCAGGCTATTGCAGATCTGCTAAAACCCGATTATACCAGCTTATGGAAACTATATACATTTCTTAACAACTCAGAATACAGTGAGATCATATTAGTAGCTTGAAACCTGCCACCGTGGGAGTATTTATACCAATGAAATCGTTAAGTGTGACCAAATGGGATTGCTACTCCCTCTGTGACACCCACCCTCAGTCAGTTGTTAATCATTTATTACTCATCATTAAAATCTCATTTCCTTTCGCCAAGGGAGGGAAACAAACATGTGTTAAAGGTTTTCTTCTTGACATACATGAGAAATCTGAATGCTCCCTTCTCTTCCTCGTTTCAGTGGTACTGAGTAACGTTCTGAGCAGTAGCCATGACGCAAGACAAACAATGCAGACAACCAATGTAGACCATGAACAACTCAACTAGTGCCCACACATCAAAAACATAGGGAAGCAGAAAGTCATCTTGGACAGACCAAGTAACAGGGTGCCAAGTTGCCGAATTTAGCTTACAGAAATTAGAAAAACAGGAAGAAATATTAAGTATCATCCCACCTTTTATCATCACTTTGTGTCAATAATTCTAGACAATATTACAAAAAAGGATCCCATCACAAACAGCTGGACTTTCCTCTGGTATACTGTGGCTAGTGAGCTTAGAATCAAGTATTGCAAACATCCAGTTATGTAAAACAATGAGATATTTTGATATTTAGACAATCTTCAAACAAATCTTCCACTGCACATCATGAACTGCTAATGTGGTATAGAAGAAGAGAAGATCTAGAATTTTACTATGTCATGTTACCACAGCACAAATATTATGGGATCCTGCTTTGAGGGCCCACACACTGCCTGGCCTCCACGCTAATCATGAAGGTTTGACCAATCATGATGTGCCATGTGTGCCCAGAGAATTCTCCCCATGTGCTGTCAGTAGTATTACTGTAAACTGCCTTTGCATTGATCAATGCGCATAGGCACGGCTGCTTTGGAACCAAAGAGGCAACTAAAACCCAAGTCTGGCACGTAACAAATAAATTACTGAAGATTGCTTCAGTGTAAGATTTGACTGAACTCACATTGCAAAGTACATACTAAGAAGATAGCAAACAGAGCAAAATATACTAAGCACAGCATTGCATTCAATAATTAAAATTATAAACTATCTAAATGCTAACAAAAACAAATACATTTTGAAGAATATACAATAAAGAAGAAATATGTACCATAAATTTTTTAAAGATAAAATGATTCATATACATTTGTATAGGAAAATGTACACATATATGATATGATATAAATATTTCACTATAAATTATATGAAGAGAAATACTGATGGAAAATAATATCTGCATGACTATTGAGTTGTTAATATTTTACCTACAATTTCTAAATATTCTCAAACTTTGCAACTATATAAAAATCAAACGATTTAAAAATGATTAGCAGATACTGCATTTTCATTAATACAGCATAAAAAATATAACTGTCCTTCTTAAATTCATGGAAAATACATTTGATTAAAAAAAAACTATCCACAGATTGCAAGTTATTTTTGCGCCAATACATACGTACTTTAATTCCATTTTCCAAAAATTCCTTTGAAGTTTCTTTATAGACTAGATTTCTGGAACTATTATCAAGATTACTGTATAGTTACATGAAAGTATTTGAACTCAACAGTTTAGACTGAAGAAACTTTCTAAAAGTTAGAAATTGCATGTAAAAACAAAGCGTGAACTATCACGTGCCAAGAAAATCCTTCCCTCGTAGAAAATGTATGAAAAATCTTTATTTTAAGAAGAGACTTACTTCTAAGAGAATAAAAAAGGCTAACAAGTGGTTAGTAATTTTCTGTTACAATAGTATTATCAAAATCTAAATAATTCTGACAATTTGGGTCTAGGGAAGTATTTTCACAATTCCGTGGGATGCCATTTTAGTCTGTGATGAGAGAATCGTGTGCACTTCACACAGAATCTCAAGCCTGTCTATTACTGAAATAGTTTGGTGGCTAGCCTGGTATCTTTAGTTCTTCATATCAGTGCCATTAAATACATGCAGTGCAGCTGAATTACCACATTGTTGTATCCCCAATCTGTGAAAGCATCTTCCCATTACGATATATCATTCACTCTTAAGTGAACACACGTTTATTTGAAAATGAAGTTTAGGAAAACCAAGACAAACAAATGTACTGAGGAGAGAAAACCCTGACTTGTTAGAAAATTCTAGGAAACTCTAAAATTCAAATCTGTTGATTTCCCTATAATAGAAAGTTCTTTTCAAGGCGGTATACAATTTCAGATTGTAAAAATTATAAGACATGAAGTTCATGGTCCTAGTATACACGACTGATGTTATATCTGCCACTATTAATAAGTAACTGTTTATAGAAAGCCCATCAACGAAATGCTCCTAACATTGCATTAAACCAATTATAGTGTTATTCTACTTACACAAATTCAAGAGCAAATACACAAGCTAAAAGATCAAACACATACCGGAGACAGCAAGGAAGTCGTCAATACTCGTGATGTCGTCCACAGCTTCAGTGAGGACATGTATGTGACTCTCCCACGTGCGCTTGTACATTTCCATGGTACTTTTTACCACCTGACTTTTGGGTCTTGATGCCAAAGCAAGTGCAGCATTAATAATCTGCAAAAATGCAAAAATTCATGCAAAATAATTTGCTTGGGAATTCTTATCATTGTGCAGATAACACATGTTATATTTTTAAAGATTAGATACATTCATCCTTTACTACAAGAAAAAATGGTAAAATTCCAAATATAAATTCCTCTTTGCTTCTAATAGTAATTTAGTTTTGTTTTGGTAATAAATAGTTACAAGTTTACTGTTTGCCTTTGCACTGAGATGCAAGAAACACAATGATAGGTGTCTTTAAGGAACTTAAAAACCATTTACCGGAAATGACAATCTAAAATTGTATCTTAATTCAGAATACAAGAAATGCTATAAGAACAAACAGTAGCCAATATTTTATAATTTTATCAATTGATATGGTATTAATATATTCATTATTTCTTGTTTGTTTTTCATTTTCTTTTTTGAGACAGAGAGAGAAGTGAGAAATTCTTCATTACCAGTACACTCAAATGTCTACAAGAGTAAACACTGGTCAATTTTGAAGCATGGAGCATGGAATCCAGTTGTGTTTTCCCACATGCGTGACAGGGACTCAGGCACGTGAGCCACGACCAGCTGCTGCTCCTCCTAGTGTGCATTAGCAGGAAACTGGGATCTGGAGTAGAGCAAGGACTGGGATCCCAGGCAACTCAATACAGAACAAAAATGGCCACGTGACAGCTTAACTGTTTCAATTCATGCCAGCCCTGCTTAATATTTCCAACATACATGAAGTATCATTAGGTACCAAGCAATGTGAATTTTTCGAAATACGAAATGAAAACATAAGCATAAATGGCCATCTTCTAGGAGTTTATATATCAGCCAGAGATGGCAGATAATTAGCAAGAAAAATACATTGTCTGTGAGATGATTATAGCTAGGAGAAAGAACAGAGAAGGGAGATAAGAAGTGGAGTGGTGAGAGGGTAGGAATTTCTTAATTTTACAAAGCCCCCCCACTCAAGGAAATTATGAATAAAATCATTATTGCCAAAAAAATTGGGAACAAAGAGTGGCGAGTTTCCAGAGAGGACAAAAAAGGAACACTTAGTGAGAATAGTAAACAATCTCCTTTAGAGATTAGGAATGCAAAAGTAACCAGCATGAATCCTGCACTGCCTGCTCAGGACTCCAGCCTTATTTGGAAGACACTAGAGAGTCATGTTGATTTTTTAAACAATTGGCTCAGACCTCCACTTAGGAAAAATTAATTTGTTAGACAAACACGGGAGGGTTAGAACCGCAAGAGGCCACAGAAACGAGCAAGAGCTTGAACTACCTTCATGGCAATAACGCTAACTGCAGGAGGATGGTGCCAAAAACGCATTAACAAACCTGTGAAAAAACATGTTAAGAACACAGAAACACTCAGAGTGGTGCAATGATAGTACTCCGCAGAGTTTCAAATAACATCATTTCTACATCTAAAATGTACAAAGAAGCTAGAAATAAAAAGTAAGGAAATACACGCAATTATTAGTGATCTCAGGATGGCAGAATTTCTATTGTTTTCCTTTTGGGGATGTGTGTAAGTATATTTAGGCATTCCAAGGCATTCCAGTAACTTAAGTTATTCTTCAAACACAGATGATTACTTAAGTTTTCCTACAAGTCATGGAAACGAATATAGTATTAGCTTTATTTTTTAAAAGATTCATTTACTCATTCAAAAAGTAGAATCAAAGTGGGTGGGGGGAAGAGACAGAGAAGTCGTCCATGTGATGGTTTACTTCCCAAATGGCAGCAAACAGCCAGAGCAGGGGCAGGTAAAACCATGACCTCCTCCAGGTCTCTCATGTGGGTGTGGGGTCCAAGCACTCGGACCATGCTTATCAGCCCAGAGTTGGATCAGAAGCAGAGAGCAGGTATTCACATATGAGAAGTTGGCAGGCAGCAGTTTTCCTGACACACCACAGTGCTGGTCCCTACCATATTACCTTAAAAAGTACAAATCACAGATTGGAAAGACTAGTTAGTGTTAGAGGCAGCTGTGTCCAGTTATTTTGAAGACAGTAATAAAGAGTACTGCAGAATTTGACTTTTAAAAATATATATTTTCATTTTATTTGAAATGCAGAGAGACAGAGATAGAGAGGCAGGTGGAGAGAGATAGACAGAGTTCTTCCATCCATTGGTTCACTCCCCAGATGCCAGCAACAGCCAGGGCCAAACTAAGCAAAAATTGGGACCCAATAACTTCATCAAGGTCTTCAATATGACTAACAGGACCCAATCCTGGCTCCTGGATTCGGATCAGCTCAGGTTCAGCCATTGCAGACACTTGGGGAGGGAATCAGTACATGGAAGATCTTTCTCTCTCTCTCTCTCTCTCTCTCTCTCTCTCCTTCTCTCTGTAGATCTGCCTTTCCAATAAAAATAAATGCATCTTTTTTAAAAAAGGAAGAAATGTCTAGGTGATGTTATTGATGAATCATTGTAAAATACAATAGTAAGTGCCAAAACATAATGGGTTATCATAAACGAAAGCACAGGATGCCTTAGAACTTATCGGAGAGGTACTCTCAGCTTCCTAAGTGGAGATATTCCAAAGGATTCACATCTGAAAAATAAGCAGGACTAGCAAATTACAAATGGTGATACCCTTTTATGGAAAGACAATAATGTGCAAGGCCCCAGCAGTGAGGCAGGATCTAACCTCCCCTCCTGGGAAATGTTCAGCAGAGAGGAGATAGTAAAAGACTCAAGAAAATCAAAGAATTCAGAGGGATGGGTTCACTAGAGAAGAAAGTAAAATATTAACATATCAAGAGTAAAAAATAAAGATTTTTTTTAAAAGGACAATGGCTATGGAAGGGCCAAGAACAATGATAAATAAAAACACCTTTGAATTTGGAAAACCAAAGTTATTGGTATAGCAGAATGTTGGACACAGGATGCAGATGTCTTCAAAATAAAACAGTATTTAAAAAAAAAGATGCTTTTCTACTCAGTAACCTAAATGTTGTATCTTAAGTAAATTTCGACACATTATCAGACATAGAGGAGGGAGGGTTTCAGTTGCTTGAAAACATTACATTGATGCTCTCTTCTAGTTTTTGTTTTATGAAAGAAGAAACATTACATTTTAAAGCATTGTAAAATAACTTTAGAAATTATTGTGCAGTAGTATTTTTTTTTACTTCAGCTTTGGAGTTTTATTGACCTGTTAACTTACAATGTACCATTGTTTACACTGTAAAAGCTATGGTCTCTAGTGTTCCATTGCTTCTGCAATTGGACAACCGTGTACACATGTGGTTTTTTTGAAATTATGCCTCCATAGTAAGGGACTGTTCTGAAGTACCGTGCAGAACCCTCAGCGGGGATGTACAGACAGGCTCTATTTTACCAGGACATTTTCAGTTCTGCTGCTTATCCAATGTATCTGATTCAACATTGCTTACTAGGAGAAAAGTTTATCTTCTTTACTCTCATGACATTTAGTTTATATCTAAAATAGACAATTCAAATGTGCTAACCCTCTTTAGGGCAAAATAAAAATTTCTCCCAATGTCATATTCCCATGCTCATTCCTATGGTGTTCAGATATAACATCTGATCTAATTACACATGTTCTCCTTCCCTGAGACCTCCAAAGTATGCCAAAATTATGATAAAATATTTTCTTTGGTTTTCTGTAGAAGGTGATATTACAAAATAAACTGGTACTTATGAAGTGACCAATAAAGAAAACAAGGAAAAGAGACAATGATCAAGAAGGAAAATAAACAACTACGATAGGAGTGCAGATCTGACATAATTTTTTAAAGTAAGTAATTTTCTGGGTTTTATATTATCAGCATTTTATAACTGCTGTTTGATATTACTTACATATTCTAAATATACATTTACATTTTCATAAAGGCCCTTGAAACTGAATGGACTTATGCCTCCAAAGCACTATAATTTGCATAAAAATCTAACTTCTGAAATGATAAAATGAGTACAGATTGTACTGCAATATTTCATAAAACTACATCTTTTCTTAATTTTTTCCTTATTTGAGCTATTCTATGCTTCCCATCCAGCTTCCTGCTAAACCATGTGGAGCCAGCAAGGACATGGGCACTTGTCACCCACATGGGTCACCCACATGGGACACCCACATGGGACACCCACATGGGACACCACCATGGACCTTTTGACCCCTGGCTCCAGTCTACCTCCTGGTGTTGGTCAGTTCCAGTCCTAGCTCTTGTGGGCATTTAGGGAGGGAATGGACAGATGTAATCTATGTCCATGTAGTTATGCATATGTACACATACACCCCTCTCCCTCCAAACACTTGTCTTCCAATTAGTAAATCTCACACAAAAGAATACTGAAGGCCTGCAGTGTGGCAGGAATGTTTTCTAAACTCATACGCAATTTTCATTCACTGAAGAAGTTCTTACACCTACCCCCAATTTAATGATGGAACAACTGAGGTCCACAGAGGCTGAAATGCAGAAGAGGCTTTCGGTTGGGAGCAAAAGATCACACATTAGAGTTTTACTTTGCTTCTCATTTAATTTTTATCTTTGAAAAATTCTCACTCAGTCTGTGAGAGTCAGGGCCCTAGAAGTTTTAGGTACACGGACACTAAAATGGAGAATGGAGTCAGTCATTGGATGAGCACATCCCTCTGGGGCCTTTCTAACTTTGATTTAATGCATATACACTTTCCTTAAAAAATTTCTAAAATCAATTACAGAAAAAAAAATCTATGTAATTTAAAGTTTCCCACAGGTAGTTCAATTTTGGCATCAATATAAATGATCTTGAAATTTTAGGGAATACAACAAAAGCACTTTGCAGATTAAAAAGATGAGTTATGCATGGCATGTACAGATTGGATTGCTTCAGTATCATGGCACATATATGAACTTAAAATAACAAGATGTACAATTCTTCAAATACATCTAAGGGTATATGTAATGTGAATTTATATGACATCATTTAAAGCATTAATGTATTTTGATTTGGGAGTGGAAAATAAATTCCAGTCTTCCAAATCATGGGGGTTCA